ACAGGGAGAACCACTCTGATCGTCACAGCAACAATGATTCTTTGCCTATCATCACGACACCGAAGAAGATCAGCAAAGGAGAAAAAAGAACGAAGATAAAACAAAAGAAGAAGATGCATATTACAAACCCTATTTCATTCGATCAAGAGGTATGTCATAAATCCTTAGTCCTCTTGGTTTTTATAGTTGAAAAAGAGGGGTTTAGGTTACCAATTTCATGTGGTGTCTGCCATGTTCGGTTAAGTTTCACATGAGTTTTTGAGTATCGACAGACTAGTCTTTTGATTCTTTGCTTTATTTCCCATCCTTTCTTTGCTTTCTTTCCCATCCTCCTTTTTTTTTTTTTTTTGTTCAGCCTGAAAAAATGAGTGACTGATTTTTAGGCTTTTACAGATTTTAGGAGATTGTTCTGGATCTTCTCCCTATGGCTAATGACAACTGCACTTGTTGCCTCTTGGGTTACTGCAAGATATAGATATAGAGGTGCCCCTTCCTCTGGTCTTACTAGGACTTGTAGCTTACTGATTTGCTCCTTGGGTGCTTGGAAGGTGTCTTCACACTCTGAAGGCCACTTGAAGGCTTTTTTTAGTACTTTAAAGAAAGGAAGGCACTTGTCATTCACCCTGGAGATGAATCTGTCCAACGCTGCTACCCTACCCATTAGCACATGGACCTCTTTGATATTTCATAGGGACCTCATTTCGAATAGTGTTTTGATTTTTTTTTTTTTGGGTTAGCCTGTATTCCTCTTTGAGTTTCCATAAATCACAAGAATTTCCTTGAGGACACACCAAAGGCGCACTCAGCCGAATTAAGCCTCATGTTTTACCTTCTAAGGGTGTCAAAGGTCTTCTTCAAATGTTCAATGTGCTCAATGGCTCAGAGGCTTTTGATGAGCATGTCATCAACATACATCTCTATTGCATGGCCAATGAGTTCCCTGAACATGTGATTTACCAGTCTCTGGTAAGTAGCTCCTGCATTTTTCAGTCCAATTGGCGTAACCTTATAGTAATAGGTTACTTTCTTTTGTTATGAAAGAGTTCTTTTCCTGATCTTTCTCATNAACATGTGATTTACCAGTCTCTGGTAAGTAGCTCCTGCATTTTTCAGTCCAATTGGCATAACCTTATAGTAGTAGGTTACTTTCTTTTGTTATGAAAGAGTTCTTTTCCTGATCTTTCTCATTCTTCATGATCTAGTAGTATCCTTAGAATGTGTCCATAAAGGAGAGCAGTTCATACCCAGCAGTGGCGTCGACTAGAATGTTGATCCTTGGTAACGGAAAGCATTCTTTTGGGCATGCCTTGGTTAAGTCAGTAAAATCTACACAAAGTCCCCCCTTCCTATTTGTCTTCTTTACCAACAAAACATTGGCTAGCCACAGTGGGTATTGTACCTCTCTTATAGACTTCACATCCAAGAGCTTCGTTATTTCTTCCTTAATGGCCCGATTTCACTCAGGGGCGAAGCTTTGGTGTTTCTATCGAATTGGTCTGAAGCTTGGGTTGACATTTAGCTTGTGTACAATTACGGTGGGGTCTAATCCACTCATATTAGACTGTATCCAAGAAAATGCAACCTTATTAGAGTTCAAGAACTCTATTAATGAAGCCATCAGGTTTTCTTTGAGCATCCTTTTGACATAGGTGACTTATTCAGGGCCATCTCCTATCTAGATAGGTTCTAGGTCCTTCAACAGTTGCAAGCGCTCCAGCTCTCCTCTATGATGTAGATAGTCAACTTGAAGAGCCTCTTGTTGTTTCCCCTTCATGAAGGATACATAACACTCGCAGGCTTCTCCCTAGTCCCTACGCACTTCTCCAATTTCTTCCTTAGTTGGGAATTGCATGAGGAGGTGATATTGTAAACCCCCACATGCTTATCTTAATATAGCAATGTAATTATTTTTGAGATGCTAATATATTTGATAATGTATGCATGAACTAAGTGGATTAAAAAAGTATAAATAAAAAATATTAGGCGAGGTAATAGGGTATGGATTGGAAGTTAGGAGGTAGTCCGGAGTTCAAACACATTTTAGATAAAATTTGAGTAGAAAGGATTTTAGACACTGCTTAGTATTTGGACCATAAAGTTGTATCCTTATGTCCATTTGAGCTGAAATTTGTACAATAGATAGTAGACTTTCAAGGCTACAAAAGTGTATTTTTTGAATATTTTTCAAATCGATCTCTAAATAGGCCAAAACTTCACTGAAAGTTTTAGCAGAAATAAGAAGTACATTCGAACGTGAAAATCCGTTCTAATGATAGTGCGTTCCAGTAATTTTTGTTGGATGGAAAAACAAAAGTACTGAGATCAAAGGACGTTCGAACGTGAGTTATGAATTCAGACCTTCAGAATCGTGCACAAGAGGCCACTTCTCACCCTGTAAATACATAAGGGCACTTCTTTTAGCCTCCATACACCATTTACAACCCTAGAAAGCTTTGAGAAACAAGAAAGGAGGGTAGAAAACACAAGATCAAGAGGGATTTGCACCTTGAAGTTGATCAAAATCTCAAGTTTTTCAAGAACACTAAGGAAAAAGAAGGTAGGGTTTTCTTCCACTCTTGTTCATTGATCTAGGGCTTATATATATACATGTTTTGACTCTAAATCTTATATATATGTATTGATATCCTTGATTCTTGATATTCTTGCAACTATTACCATGTTTTGAGTGAAGTTATGATTGATAGCCATAAAACCCTTGTTCTTCACGTCAAAACCTAGTTTTTGAGAAACATGAAATCTTCCTCTTGATTTTTCCTTTGTTCTCGTTTTAAAAACTCTAGTGCTTTGTATTGAGCAATAAAATAATATTTTTAATGATCTCTTACATATTTGCTTAAATTGTTCTATTGGAATAATACATGTGAAATTTAGGAATTTTTGAATTTACTTTGTGATTTGAGGAAATTGATTGGGTATTGTATCTTTTGTAGATGTTTGGATGACCATAGGTGGCTATTGACTGGATATTAGAAAGTGGATAGATGCGTTTCTTACTTCGTGCGGGTTTAAATTTTTTCTACCACTCGTAGTGGAGTTGGTGCCTTGTGAGAACCAAACTACTATTCGCTCACGGGTACCGAGACTAAGAGTTGGTATACTATTCCTGGATTAGATTCGTCACTATCGATGCGTTGGTATATGCCCTTCCTAAAGATTGAGAATCCTTGCGAGAATTGGGTGTGTGTGTATGTGTGAGCCAAGATATTCTCAATATATTTATTCATGCGATGTCATACATCATACCTGAGATACAAGTACATACACATATACATACTGTTGTGAAAGATACAAGTTATTGTTTGATATACATTGTTGGAAATTGTACAAATTGTGGATAGTGTTTGTTGTTGGGGAAATGGTTTATGATTGGAAATAGCTTATTGTTGAAAATTAGTTTTATCTCTTTTAATTTATTGATATTGCTTAAACCTTGAGATCGGATGAACTGCCACTGTTTTCTTTCAAAAGTTATATATGATATTTGTGAAATGAGACTGACTTGTTTTATATGTTTGCAAAACCTTGTCCAAGTTTGGGGTGATTTTTCAATAAAGCTTAGTGCTCACCCCCTACAAATAATATTTATTTTCAAATTTCGGTTTAAAGGAAGAGCTTAGAGTTGATGAGCAGGTGAATTGGGAAGCTAAAGTGGATGGGCATGTGGATCCGGAGGGGATGTCTAGAATTGTTATTTTTATGTACTAGACTAAGAGTTTCATGTTGCGATAATGCTCATGTTAATACTTTCTTTATTCTGCTGCGAGATAATAGTTTGAGAATATTCTTTTGGGTGTAATTGTCATTGTTTAGCATATTCTTTTGGATGTAATGGCCATGATTGACATATTCTTTTGGATGATATTTTTATATATTAGGGATGATGAATGAAATTATCTTTATTTATGGATTTTATTAGTTGCTCTCGTGATGTGAATGATTTTTAGATAATAATGTCATCCAGGTGGATTTTGGGGCGTTATAAGATTTGGTATTAGAGCTTAGAAATTAGGTCTTATATGGGAGTTGTAGGTTATGGATTACCATTAGAGCAATAGGATTAGGTCGAACGAATTGTTTACTTAAAGCTTATACAAGCCTTATGCTTTAGATTAAAGTAATAGCTAGGATGTCTTGTACATCAAGGAAACTAAATTATGAATCGATGCGCAGGATGGACGGTGAACGTGGACATGGTTGTGGAGGTCAAGCAAACCCACCACCTCTCGATGCCGTGAATGGCATTTATCAATGCCTAAGGGAGCTACCCACTCTGGTTCAACACCAGAATGGAAACAACAACCACAGCGGGGGGTGTCATCCATTAGCTCATGTACCGGGTAACAGGGACGAAAATTGAAGGATGGTAGTTTTTCGAGAATTTATGCGGTAACACCCACCTACTTTCCAAGGAATCTCTCACTCATTGGATACGGATAAATGGATTCGCTGGGTGAAAGAAATGTGTGATGGCATGGGAGTAGCCGAGGATTTGTGGGTTGGCTTAGCTACATATCTGCTAGAGGGGGAGGCAGATCATTGGTGGGACTCGGTGAAGAGAAGGAGGAACACGAATGCTCTTACCTGGGAGGAGTTTGATCAAATCTTCCAAGAGATATATTTTCCTTAATTAGTCAGGGACAAGATGAGTGCCGACTTTCTCGCTCTACGACAGGGTAGCATGGCAGTGGCCTTGTATGGGAGGAAGTTTGATGAGCTATTCCGCTATGCCACGGAGTTCATATCTACTAAGGCCNGAAGAGAAGGAGGAACACGAATGCTCTTACCTGGGAGGAGTTTGATCAAATCTTCCAAGAGATATATTTTCCTTAATTAGTCAGGGACAAGATGAGTGCCGACTTTCTCGCTCTACGACAGGGTAGCATGGCAGTGGCCTTGTATGGGAGGAAGTTTGATGAGCTATTCCACTATGCCACGGAGTTCATATCTACTAAGGCCAGGAGGGCCAAATGCTTTGAGCAGGGCTTGAGGCCTACTATTAGGGAGAAGCTTGTGGCTCATAAGATTTGGGACTATGAGGATCTTGTTGACAGAGCTGCACTGGTGGAGAGAGACACAGGGGACAACCAGCGGTGACAGAACTTCGCAAGGGGAGGTCCGATCCAGACGGGTGCTAGCAGTAGTGGAGTGTAAAGGGCGGCACCATACCGTCGACCAGACCAGGTGGTTAGATAAAGACTTCAGATAGTTCGAGGAGATGGGGCTACACATAATAGGGCATGCACTGACCCATGTCAATGGTTCGCATGTGGAGGGTTCGGGCACTTCAAAAATAACTGTCCATCGCTTTCAACCAAGACCAATCAAGCAGCAGGACAATTAAATGCAAACAAGCCACCACTATAGAAGCCACTATAGCAGAGACTGTTAGGAGCTCTAGCCCCAGGTAGTGCCAATCAAGGAAGAGTGTTTGTTTTGATCNAACAAGCCACCACTACCTAAGCCACTACAACAGAGACCGTTAGGAGCTATAGCACCCGGCGGTGCCAATCAAGGGAGAGTGTTTGCA